CTGCTTCTCCCTCTCCCACTCCCCCTGCTTGTGTTCCCTCTCTTGCTGTGTCTCTCTCTGTCAAATAAATAAATAAAATCTTTAAAAAAAAAAATGGCATTGGAGCATAGAGAGAGGTGTCCAATCTGACCTCTAGAAGCTTCCATTCTAAATATGGAAGCGAACTCCACACAACCATTACTTCATTGACTCTAACTTCTTTCTTCTGGGGTCTCCAACAAAATGATTGAACCAGAAGGCTTCCCAGGAGGATCAGCAAGTTAGCTGCTACGGGACCTTGCCTCCCTGGTCAGTGACTTGAAGTAGCCACCCTACCCTACCTCCACCCCGAGATCAGCCTTTAGACCGTGGGCACATCAAAAGTAACTCATCACTTGGGAAGAGGTGTGAGGTTGTAATTACGTATTTTATATATATTTGTATATACATATACAATTGTAAGTATACATATGTAATTATGTATTGTATATATATATACACATATATTCCAATACATGCATACCGAGTGCCAAAAAGATGGGAATTGACGTTCATAAATTAAAAACAGTAGCCTCCAACAGATGAACAATAATCTGCAAAACATTTATTTTTATTTTCCTCTTTAATAAATTTTTTATTTCTGGTTAACATGAGATTAAAATTATTCATTAGGATGATTATAATTAACAGTGTTAAATCCTAAGCAAGACACAAATTAATATCAAAGAATTTTAGAATTAGAAGGGAATTTAATTCACAAAGGAAAGAGGCTATTAGATTTCATTCACTTCTGAAATGTTAGCTTTATAACAGCATCTCTTCTGAAACAGTAATTCATATGCATACAATTTTTCTAATTCTGAGGATATAAGCATGTAAAGTGATCTATTCGTTTTCTTCAAGGTTGATGTTTTTCCCCCATCATTGAGAAAATTAACCCTACAACGCTTCGTAGTATTTTCTGAGTTTATTTGCATAAGATTCCGTGTAAGTAAATACTATTTTCTGAGTTTATTTGCATAAGATTCCGTGTAAGTAAATGAAATACTGTTCATTCTAACAGGTTTGTTCTACCTTTAAATTTCTTAAAAGACATTCATCACAAACTGACTGTAATGTCAGGAAATGTTAGAAAAATTTATTCCTCTTCTATGAGCTAAAAAATTAAGAAATCGTTTCTCTTAGGAAGACATTATAAAACATTATATTTATAAGAAGTTGCATCTTCTATAGATAAAAGTGGCTAAGTAAAAATGATTACCCTCTATTTCTACCTCAGATAAACCTTGCTTTAAATAAATTATGTGGGAATGCGATAAATGAAAATTCTGATGTACCAGAGAGGCAAGAGAGAGGTGGTTATTTGCGTTATGGAATTATTCATATAGTTCATCTATAAAAAGTCATTTTCCCTGCTACTTTTATTTTTATTTTATTTTTTTAAGATTTATTTTATTTATTTGAAAGAGAAAGAGAGTGAGAGAGAGCATGAGTGGGAGGGGCAGAGGGAGAGGGAAAATCTCAAGCAGACTCCCAGTGGAGGGCAGAGTGGAACGCAGGGCTCCCTATCACGACCCTGAGACCATGACCGGAGCCGAAACCAGGAGTCAGGCCCCCAGCAGACTAAGCCATCCAGGTGCCCCTTCCCTGCTACTTTTAACATGTAATTAATTTAAATGTAACTTTTCGGAGACACACCTACCATGCACAATTATATCTTCATTTCAATATTTCTCTTTTGGTTTAAAAACAGGATGTAAAACTGTATTCCCCAACAACCCTGAGTCTGGAACATAAACCTTCCAGAGTGGAGTACACTCATGAAACTTTGCCAAATTTTCCATAGATACTGTTAAAAGCAGGAACTGAGATCTACGTGTCGGGGGGTGGGTAAAGAGACCCAAGCAGGGCTTCGGCCCATGAAGGACTCTGGGCTATTTTGATTCTCATCTGCTGAGCCCACTCTCAGATATGCCTATAAGCTTTATGAGGCTCGCTCAGACTCAAATTTGGTTCCGATGGGGCTATGTCCATTTCTCCGGCTTTCACAGTCTTATTTTGGGGGGATAACACTGTGTCTTGATGAATCATGCACCATATAGCCCCCTCCCTCCTATGTAGAAGGCAGCTAACTCCAGGGTCCTCTTCTCCTTCCCACCCATCCTTCACACACATCCATTCCAGTAGAGAGCAGCTGAAATGAGTGGACAGACAGGCTACCTTCCAGAACTACGGCCTCACCCCTGAAGCACAGGTACCAGATATGAGCAGATGAAATTTACCTTGCAATCTCAGTAACCGCTAACTTCTCAGAAGTAGGGATCATCTCGGTAAGCCTGAGCATCTTAGTAAATAAAGATGGCTTCATTCTTATCTCTCATGATATGATGATTACTTAGTGGAACATAACCATTTAATTCTGAAATGTTATATTTTGTATGGATGGTTTGCTTTTAAAGGATAAGACTTAATTGATTAGCATTCATAAGTAACTGTCAGCACAGTGTGGCATTAATAAAATCGGAAGTCAACTCTTAAAAATAAACCAACTGCAATATACATGGATAATTTTTCATCTGAGGCTACCTGATAAAGAAACTGGTTCAGGATCAGCCAAATGAGACCTCAGAGCAATGGAAGTCTACTCAAATTGCCAGGATTCTAGCCTCACAGCCTTTTTCAGCCATCCTTTCCTGGAAGAAGTGGTTCTATGCGGGTTAGTAGATTTAACACAGTATATTCGTTAACTAGAAAACTCTATAATTTAATCTCTCATTTATTTTTCACTATAGAATCAATGTTTATCCAGCTACTGAATCTCATGATATCATGTCTCCTGTTAAGAGCTACAGATTTTTATAAAATCTGGAAAGTCTAATTTACAAAAGAGAACCAAACTGATCATTCATTCCTTCCTTTACTCTCCATCCTATTTGGAAAATAAGGCCTATTTTCATCTTCAAGGCTGTTTTAAAGGCTGGAGAAGAAAAGACACAGAAAGGAGAAAAATAAGCCACAGAAAGATGATCAGGAAGGCATCTAAAAGCACAGCTGTTTATAGCGAACCTCATGGAGACTCAGGAAGCATCTGCCACCCCCACCCCCTGCCCCATTCCAACTGAAGACACTTGGGCTAAGAAAAAATGAACCATGATCTTGCTCAGGTCTCAAATTACAAGGACCTGCAAATTAAAATGAATCTGCTCTATCAGTTGTGTGTGTGTGTGTGTGTGTGTGTGCACGCGCTCACATGTCTTTTCAGAACATGAGGAGGCTTAATCAATATGGGGAATTATTATCAGATACCACAAATTGTCAGCTCTACCTTTGTTTGATGGTAGAGATAGCCTCAAACATTCCAGTTTGTGTTTGTTAAACAACGAGTAGACCAGAGACTACAGCTAAGCATCTTCTGTATTGGGGATGATCACCTTAATAGGGGGGACCGCGTCAAACGTCTTCAGCTAAAGGAAGAACACTGAGTAATAGTTTGTTCATCGGCAGGGTCAGACCTACGGCTTGGCTGGTGCCTCTCCAGAGGAAGGCGTGAGCTCTCTAGGCTTCTTCTGTGTACTTCTTGTTGCTTAAATGTGTCTCCACTAGGGGTGTGTAGCCTTTTCGGAGTCTTCTGTACTGAAGGAAAAACAGCACCACAAAAACACCAACCAAAGCCACCAGCATCCCTATGACCACCAAGAGGGTTGTGGTCCAACCTCGAGTTTCTTCAACTGGAATTAAAGCAGAAGAGAAGGGTCTTCAATTGGGATTTTCATCAGCTGAATACTCTTAGAGAAGAAAAGAATGAACCAATTTGCTTTTCACACGCATTTTTGTTGATAAAGCAAAACTATACCAGCTAGAATAAAATTTATCTTCTTCCCCACCAACAATTTGTCATATCCACAATTGTTTTTCTTGAGGAAATGGCATTCCATTATTTAAATACAGCTGATTGCATGTTTTAAATTTCTTACAGTAAACACACAGAATAAACCCTCCAAGGAAGTATATAACTACTTTTGTGAGTTAGAAACTCATTTGTTAAAGTGTACGCTAAAGTAGTAACTGGGGAACTGGAAATATACAGCCCTCAGGTGGAGAAATTCTGCTATTGTCTCTACCTTTTTATAGGGTGATAAATGTATAAGACCGATCAGATGGGCTATTATAACAGAAGACATTCAACAACAGGAGCAGATGAAATTTGTACCCATTTAAAGGGTTGTGAATAAAATCTGAATCTTCTACCTGATAAATCTAATACTCGACTCAAATAATATTTTATAAGCACTCTCCACAAAATTAATGGATTTCATTTTAATGTACCTATGCCTGTCAGTCGTGTCTTTTAAAAACTCTCTTATCAGCTGTTCTTTTTTTTAAATTGTTTTAAAGATTTTATTTATTTATTTAAAAGAGAGAGAGCACAAGCAGGGGCGGGGGGAGGGACAGAGGGAGAGGGAGAAGCAGGCTCCCCGCCGAACAGGGAGCCGGACGCAAGGCTCCATCCCAGGACCCTGGGATCATGACCTGAGCCGAAGGCAGACACTCAACGACTGAGTCACCCAGGCGCCCCTAGGTCAGCTATACTTAAATTCAGTTTCTCTCACCTGGGTTCTTATTCTATACCCTATGCTTGCCTGAATGGAAAATCCCCCTTCTAGTTTTTTCCTCCATTCCACAGAGGGCCCTTACTCATCCTGCAGGGATTCCTCCAAGATGACTATAATTTTTCTCCTCATGCTACAATCCAACATCTGTGGCCAGAACCATCTTCGTAAAAAACAGATGTTTATTCTGACGTTTCTTTGTTCAGGAACCGAAAATGATTGTTCTTTTAATTGTGGTGAGATATACATGACGTCTATTTCACCCTCGTAGTCATTTTTAAGTGCTCCGGTGCAAGCATCAGTGCATTCAGTGTTCTGCCACCATCACCACCATAGGACTTTTCTCATCCTGCAAAACTGAAATAGTATCTCCCCAGTACCCCAGCCCTCCAGCCTCTGCAATCTCCTTCCTACTTTCCGTCTCTATAAATTTGACTACTCTAGAGACCTCACATAAGGCGAATCAGAACAGTTTTTGTTGTTTTGTGACTGGCTTTTTCATTTAGCGTAATATCTTCAAAAATTATAGTCCCATGCAAATTAAGACTCATGCATGTTGTAGCATATGACAGGATTTCCTTCCTTTTTAAGGCGACATAATATTCCATCTGTGCATACACCACACTTGGTTTATCCATTCAGCTATCAATGGACCATGACTCTTCTTTTGTCTATTGTGACTAATGCTATGAACAGAGGTTTACAGATAATCTGTTTGGGTACTTGCTTTCAATTCTCTGCTGGATCATAAGGTAATCTGATGTTCAATTTTTTGAGGAGCTTCCTTATTGTTTTCCACAGAGGCCACGTACCACTCTGCATTCCCACCAGCAGTGCACAAGGCCTCCAATTACCCCACAGCCTCATCGGCACTTATTACCCACTGCTTGGTCAGTAATAACCAACCTAATGGGTGGAAAGCGGCATCTCATTGTGGTTTCTGCCTAGCTTTTAAGGCCGTCTCTAACCAGGCTCTTTTCACAGATCCAGACTTAATTCAGGGAATCTTCTTCCCAAGCCTTCTCCAGCCAGGCTTCTTCACGCAGTCCTCTACACAGACTACACCTTTCACAGCACTGTTCCCTGCCCTTCTTCAATTTAAAATGCTCCCTTCTCTCCGCCTCCCCTAGAGAAAATCCACCAACTCTTTGAATCTGACTCAAGACCCCTCCCCTTCAAGAAGCCTTTCCCAAAATTGGACTGCCACATGCAGAAGAATGACACTGGACCATTTCCTTACACCACACACAAAAATAGACTCAAAATGGATGAAAGACCTAAATGTGAGACAGGAATCCATCAAAATCCTTGAGGAGAACACAGGCAGCAACCTCTTTGACCTCAGCCGCAGCAACTTCTTCCTAGAAACATCGCTGAAGGCAAGGGAAGCAAAGGCAAAAAT